ATGATCTAGAACAGGGGTCGGCAACCTCTGGCACGCAGCTCGCCAGGGTAAGCACCCTGGCGGGCCGAGCCGGTTTGTTTACCTGCCGCGTCCACAGGTTCGGCTGATCGCAGCTCCCACTGGCCGCGGTTCGCCACTCCAGGCCAATGGGGGCAGCGGGAAGCTGCAGCCAGTACATCCCTCAGCCTGCGCCGGTTCCTGCAGCCCCCATTGGCCTGGAGTGGCGAACCGCGGCCAGTGGGAGCTGCGATCAGCCGAACCTGTGGACGCGGCAGGTAAACAAACCGGCTCGGCCCGCCAGGGTGCTTACCCTGGCGAGCTGCGTGCCAGAGGTTGCCGACCCCTGTTCTAGATCATGCTGGCAGAGGTTGGGATCGTTTGATGGACTAAATAGTCATAGAAAGGAAGCTACTCAGTTGACTTAATAATGTTTATATATGAACCTTTGCTTGCAGCAATTGTGAAGTAGATAAGTTAACTTGCCCTTTAGATGGAGCTGTAAAAGTGGTGGTCAAAGAAGGAGAGAGGAAGAACTGTATTTGGTACAGTCACAAGCACTATTAAAACTTCTTTGGGAAAAAATCTGCTTCTCTGTAGATCGTTCTGGTGTCCCCTAAGCCAGTTTTACACTGATGTAACTCCACTGACTTCAGTGGATTTATTCTTGATATCAAGGACATCTGAATAAGCTCTGATGTGTGTCTCCTCCTCCACTAGAAGAACAGAAGCTGTGAGTTGTTCCTGAGGATGTGTCCCTTTAGCAACAGACTAAAGTTCTGCTGCCACGACTTCAGCTTTGTTTTATGTACTTAATATTTGCTTGTGACATCAACATTAATCTATATTAAGCAGCACAAATGTCTGTGTCACTGTGGGAAACCTTGTTGTAAATGACAATACGCATTAGCAACCCAAGTAGTTTTTAGAGTTTTGCTTAAATGATTTATTATTAAATATTAAGTCAAGTAAGTGAAAGGCAAACCCTGCTAGGCTGCCCGTACAATTTCCAGGTAACCACGGAGAGGCAGTTGTTTGTCACTTCTTGAAGCACACATATATAAAGTTGTTTTTCAGGGTGTAAAGGCTATGATATCAATGCCACGACTGGATAGCTCTCTAATGGAGCTCATGAAGGACCACTGCTAGGGGAAGTATTTCTGGGGGAAATAATATTAGCCAGCAAGGTGACAGACACAAATGAGGATCTGGTAGCCAACGTGCTCAACCTATCTTTGTTTAGAAATGGCCACACAGTCAGGGGTGAAAGTAAAATTGAGCTCTTACCGGTATGGGGGCTGGCTCTGCCCCCCCAGGGGTGGGGCCTCAGGCGGAATGGGCAGGGCCGGGGATCAGCGTCCCCCAGCCAGCCCATCTGGGCTACCTGGCCTGCACCGCCCAGGGCTCCAGTGGTGATTTAAAGAGCTCAGGGCACCAGCCGCTGCCGCGGTAGCAGCAGCCGGAGCCCCGGGCACTTTTAAATCACCAGCCACAGGGCAGCTGCTCCTTTTCCCCTCCCCCTCTTCCCTCCCCCCCGCCGTCGGCGGCCTGGGGGGCGCAAAAGAGGCAATGACGTTAAAGCGCTGATGCGGCAGTGCTTTAAGCAGGGCCCTTTGCCGCGGCAGCGCTTTAACATCGCTGCCTCTTTTGCGCCCCCCGTTGGCAGCCCTGCCAGGTCCCTACCTTAAAAACTGGATTTGAGCCACAATTATAATTTTCTCATTTTTTTTATTCAATTCCTTGTCACTCAATTGCTACGTCTAATGTTAATACACTTATCTATCCCATGAAAAACTGGCTGTAGTTACCTACTTTTAAAGCTGTTTCTAGATTTTATTTTTCTATTTTATTCTCCATTGATATGCCTTCAAATTTCTATCCTTAGTCCTCTCTCTTTATTCTCCTCTGATGATAGAATCCACGCCCATGGTTTTAGTTGGCACCTTTCATAGCAACATCTTACAAATCAATCTTTCTACCCTCACCTCGTATTATCCTAACTCATATTTCTCTTTAACATCTCCTTAATGCTTTCCTTCTGTTCCTCAATCGGTTGTTTTTTTTTTTTTTTTTTTGTTCACACTTTCCACTACACTTGTAAAAGCATCCTGGGTTCAATGTATACTTGCCCTTCCTGTCCATGATCACATCTCTCTTTAAGATCCGAACCACACAAAAACTGCTTTTGGAACTTGTTGACATGATTAAAGCTGAGATTCCTATTGTACAGTCAATACTGTCACTGAATTTCAATAAGAAAAATGGTTTTCAGAAATAATGTAAACAGATATAATATTTGTCACTGTTTTATTATAAAATCAAGGTTTCTGTAGTTCACCATGAAGCCATTTTTATTATTATTATCCTATAATCATTAAGATATATATAGTTTCTTTGGGAAATTGACTATTAATATAATCTGCACCCCCAATGCAGCAACCTGCATAAACATGTGCTTAACTTTAACCCAAGATAGTTCCACTGAAGTCAATGGGATTGCTTCCATGCTTAAAATTAGGCATGTGTTCAAGTACCTTGCTAACCCAGGGCCTAAAATAGCAAGAAAAGGGTCTTCATATTGTTTGTAAACTAACACCTGCAGAAAAGATAACATTTCTTATTCTCGAATTAATAAAGATGGATTTGTGAAAAGCTCTTTTTAAACATGAAATTAAAATAGTGTTGCATTTGTTGTACAGAATTAGGATATATTCAGATTAAACCACGTACCTGTCCAAACTCATGACTGTCATAATAGCGCTGCATGCAAACTGGTTGCATGTGTCTAAGGATGTAATGATGGTACACAGAGGGCTGCCAAACACCCACTCTCCTCCGCGGGCCCACTGATGAATGAGAAAGGGCATGCCAATGATATGAACCAAATCTGCTACAGCCAGATTGCAGATATAGATATCTGGAATGTTTTTTTTTCTAGACCTGAAATAAATGGGGAAAACAGATTACTTGACACAGTCAACATCAATGTTGCTGAGCTAATGCTGTTTAGTTTTTAATGCCCACCTGGGTAACCCAAATTTCTCTTTGAAAAAATGTATAAAAGTTTAAAAAATCTCTGGGCCTGATTCTCCACTCTCAATACTTCCACTGTAGTTGATGGAGCACCATGAGGTAAAGCTACTGTAAGTGAGAGGCGAGACTCAGGCCCTCTGACCTGGGTCCTAGATGATGCAGTGAACCAAGGGCTAGATTTTTAAAGGGGCAATTTTGAAAATCCCATTGGGCACCTCTCTGCATCTTTCAGCACTTTTACAAATCTGGCCCTAAAACATTAATCGGCCACCTCCGATGGTCTGGGTTCTAGCTGTAGTTTAGGTCACAGGTGAAAATGAGTTTCAGTAGCCCCTCAGCAAAATGTTTTCCATGCAAGCCACCACACTTGAAGCAAGTAGCAGACTTACAAATGCTGAACATATCTCCTCAGATGAAGAAAAGTGTATCTATATATCTGGGAATGAGAGGAATCTCCTTTGCTAACAGAGCTGCAAGGGGATGTGAGACAGGGCAAGATTTGTTTGTTTGCTTACCTAAAAGAGAGAATGGAAATAATGGGGACGAGAGGAATGAGAGAGGACAGTGAATTTTGGTACTTTGAATTAAAACAGTTTTATTGTTTGTTTTGACCATATGCCCTCATAATGCCTCAACTGGTCAGTTATCATACATACATCCTTCCATGTCCCATTATATAAGAACATAAGAACGGACATACTGTGTCAGATCACTGGTCCATCCAGCCCAGTATCCTGTCTTCCAACAGTGAGGGTGCCCCAGAGGGAATGAGCAGAACAGGCAACCATCAAGTGATCCATCCCCTGTCACCCATTCCCAGCTTCTGGCAAACACAGGCTAGGGACACTTCAGAGCATGGTTTTGCATCCCTTGCCCATTCTGGCTAATAGCCATTGCTGGACCTAGACCTCATGAACTTATCTAGTTCTTTTTTGAACCCTTGTATAGTCTTGGCCTTCATAACATCCACTGGCAAAGAGTTCCACAGGTTGACTGTGCATTGTGTGAAGAAATACTTCCTTTAGTTTGTTTTAAACCTGCTGCCTATTAATTTCATTTGGTGATCCCTAGTTCTTGTGTTATGAAAAGGAGTAAATAACACTTCCTTCTTTACTTTCTTCACACCGGTCATGATTTTATGGATCTCCATCATATCTTCCCTTAGTTGCCTCTTTTCCAAGCTGAAAAGTCCCAGTCCCCTTATAAGGAAGCTATTCCATACCTCTAATCATTTTTGTTGCCCTTTCCTGTACCTTTTCTTCTTCTGGCTCAACTAGCAAAGATGTTCCTGCTCATACCCAGAGGCATTATCATATAATGTATTCATCTTCAATGGTAGTTTCTTTATTCTATGGCTGGTGACATATATTAGCATTTTTAAAATATATTACACACATGTTAAACTATGTTAAAAGAGCATTATTGAGGTTGCAAAGTCAAGCGCTCAAAAGTTGCAAAATACCAGAATTAAGATTACCTATATAAACTTAATTTGCTCTCCCTCCCATGCAAATGCATTATGATACAGTCTATAATTACATGATCACATATTATTTTCCCACCGTATTGCTGCTTCGAGGAGTGAGTCAGGGTCATGTACTGAAGGAGGGTGTTGTCTCTAGGACCTCTGCCTTATTTATTGTGGCAGTTGGAAGTTGTGTAGTGAAAGAGGCAGGAAAGGGATTGGAGGAGAGAAAGGATTGTCTCCTGGTTAAGGCAGCTGAATACTGCCCTGGAGAATTGGATTCTATTCCTGTCTCTGCCACAGAGTTCTTGTGTGATGTTGGGCAAGTTACTTAAACCAAACTCTTCATAGGTGGTTACTAGTTGTGCGTTCCTCTTTTCTGGATGCCCAAGTCGATAGCCTGGGGTCTGATTTGCAGAAGGGCTAAACACTCTCAGCTGCAAGTGAAATCAACGAGAGCTTTTCTTGAATATATAAAGTGCTAGATAGTGCAGTGAGAAGTTGGAAAATCAGGCATCTTAAATTGGGCACCCAATTGTCCTTAATCTCTGTGCCTTAGTTCCCTGTCTGTAAAATGGGGATAATACCACCATCTCATCTCACAAGGTTGTTGTGAAAAAATAATAATTAATGTTTGTGCGGCACTCAGATATTATAGTGATGAGTACAGTACCTAACACAATGGAGTCCCAGTTCATGAGTGGGGCTCTATGGCTATGATAATACAAATAATAACTAATAATAAAAGCCCATGAGGAAATTAATAATTCTGTCTTTGGATCAGGGTTTGAATAGTGTGCAGTAAAGAAAGCCCTGGGGCCATGCACTGAACAATCCAGAGAAAACAAAATATTGAAGAGCTGCTCATTCAGGGAGCACTGTCCATCCTATTCATGGAAGGAGGCAGGGGTTGTGTGGAAAAAATTGTGTGTGATCATGTAATTAAAGACTGTATCATAATTCATATGCATAAAGGGGCTGAATTAAGGTTGCACAGGCAGCCTTAATTCTGGCATTTTCTAACTTGTGAGTGCTTGACTTTGCAAATGTAATTAGGTTCCTATAGCACAGCTTTTGTGTATTCAATGATATCTGCAGACAGTGGGTTAGAGCCTCAGGTGGTGTAAGTTAGTGAACTCCTCAATGGAGGATGAGGATCCGGTCCTTTACAAAATTAAGTTCCTAGCTCAGCACAGCCCTCAGTTGTGGGTTGGGGGGAGAGTGTATGTGTGAGAGAGGGGTGTGCGGGCGTGGTGCATGTAAACAATAGACCCACTGACCGCAGCTGGCGAGAACAGTCCCACTGGGTTTCTTGGATTGCTTAAAGTTAAGCATGTGTTAAAGTGCTTTGTAGCATCAGGGTCATATTCTGAGTATTTATCTTCTCCCCAACAAAGAGCAGGCAACCCAATACAGTCTCAAAAGGTTTTCTGAAAGCAGTGGGTGCCTATAGTATTCTTTTTCAGTCTACTTTCCAGAAGAGGGTAGAGGCTTATTTGTCAATCTCACTGAAAGACACAAAAAGTAAGAAGGCAGATCTGCAGGCAAGAAAATTCCATTCCCACTTGTGCATACCACATTCAGCACACTGACCACACTATTGGCACTTCACAAATAATATTAATAACAACCACACAAACATAAAACCACATAAAACTCCCTGACAAAGCACAGGAACAAATCCGTACAGACACATGCCTAGAACCCCAACCAGGGGT